CGCTGTCCCATACTTCCTACTCGGACACCGCTCGTACCTTCGCTCCGAGCCTCCGTCATAGTCCCGACCTTGGACTTTGACTCCACCTCGGTCTTAGTCCATTGCATTGGTGACCTCATACTACGTAAACACCATTGCCAATATCCCTTGGACTTTCAACCCTGCCTCCGTAACCTCCGTAACCTCCACAACCCCTGAGCTTCGTGGATCGCCTTCGGCACTTTCACCGCCTGTAATGTATCTCTCGCGTTTACCCCTCATCCCTATTTGGACTACTGCTTCTTCCCATTCTAGCCAGTTAGTCATCACCCCCACTTCTCCTCATCCTCCTGCCCCTCTGGGCCTTGCCCTCCCTACCTCCTTTCAGACGTATCATAGGTCCTGCCTTATGACCTTCGGTACTGCTCCACTCCTTCTTCCCTTTGTCCCCGTTCGGACGTCTTCGTTCCGATTCGGTTCCCCTTTGTTTCCTTGTGCTTTTGCCCCCTCCATTATATATATCGGTGCTTGTACATACTCGTTTTGGTTCAGTCCGAAATCGACCTGAAATGCCCCCTAGAGACTTCCTGCTCACCTACTGTGAAATTAAGGACCAAATGGACAAACAGCAATGGCACAGTGCTCCGCTTGAGTCGCTGAGGCCAAGGTCCCTCCACGCTAAGTCTCCGATTCCACTCCGGAGTCGTCTGTATCAGCCCCATTCTAACAGTATAAGTACGAAAGGAGAACAGAGAAGGGGCCAGTTGGTCCGGCATGGGACAGGAGCAGAATGGTAAGTGCGACAAAACTAAAAGAGCGATGAGGACCAGGGAAATGGAACAGAAGAAATGAATGGAACACAGGATGGCGAAGTTGGGAGGCAGAATAAATAGGACCGACAATCTAGGTGCCAATATAGTGGCAGATAAAATGTCAATATAGGAGTGGATCAGTGGTGACAATATCGACTGCTAGTAAGTTAAGCAAATGAATAAGAATAAAATGGTGTCAGCCGAATGGCTGAGGAACTCAAGTGGTGGCAGGAGAAAGAAGGAGGCATCACTATGGGGCCATAGATGGGAACCACTATCAGCACCACTAAGTGATGGACAATGGTGCAATTAATGGGCACAAATAATGGGTGCAAGAATGGTGATGGGGTGCAGGTGATAGAAGTGGTAAAGGTGGGGACTTTGCAGGGCCATGACAGACACAAGGGATACATAAGGTGTGTCAAGGGGACCACAATGTCGGAGTATTGGTGGATGAAATGCCGATAGAAGTTAGCGAAGCCAAGGAAGGACTGGACATCCTTGACTTTACGGGGCTCGGGCCAATCTTGGACAGCTTTAACCTTCTCGATGGACATGGTGAGTCCGGAGGGAGAAAGGCAGTATCCGAGATATTCCGTAGTGTCCATATGAAATTCGCATTTCTTTGGGTTGGCGTATAGGCCGTGTTTGCAGAGTCTCCTAAGAACTTCTTGGACATGCTCCTGATGTGAAGCCATGTCTTCCAAGTAGGTAAGGATGTCATCTTGCATGCCACATGCTCCAGGCCTGGTTCCTACCCCTTCATGTGACTTCCAGGTATCCCTGGAAGTTTTCCTGATATGGTGGCCACTGTGGGAAGATGAGAAGTTAGCTTCCTTCTCATCTTCTTACCCACAGTAGGTTGTGCCCTGGATAGGGCTGGTTACACCAGTAGGCTGTGGACCATAGGGGAGGGTCATGGGGACCTGGGAGTCATCCCCTGACAATTAGTTCCCTTGAGTTTCATGTAAATGGAGGATATGTCCCCTGGGTTCCTGCACCCATGCTGAGCTTCTGTATGTAGAATATCCTGGACTACATGGTCAAAAACCTGCACCTGGGCTTCACTAGTGTGGGATGTTGCTGTTTGCATAGTGACAAACCAGTTCTTTCAAACTCGGGGGAACCCTCTGCACCCGGCTCTGCACAATTGTAGTCAGGGATGTTCATGATGCAAGTTGATTCATATTGTGTCTTCTTGTGAGAGGTGCCATCACCACTTGTAGTAAATGCTGTCAAATTTTATTATTCAATATTGCTATATGAATGTCCATATTTTGCAAACCTTCCACAGTGTTTAGTTCCAAAGCCAACTGGAGCTTTCCTGCTTCAAGAGCCTCCAGGACTATCCTCTGTACAGTATGAGGACTGGGAACCTTCTTGAGTGGCTGTCCGAGTATTTTTGACACTTCATAAACTGCATTCCCAAAACTCTGGTAAGAAATTCCATCCCAGACCAAGCAATGAATCAGGGAGCGTGCTTCAGGTGAGAATGCACCTTTGGAGATCAATGGTGATTTTGTCATGTTCCGTGCATATTTCTTCATTTTGGGAGTCCACTGTTTCTGGTGGTGGAGGGACTGGGTCAGATCCTTCACCCTCCAGCGTAGTTTGGATACTAGGCATGACTGTTTGGTGCTCATCTCTTTGGCATCTTTGGCAGCAGAATGGGCGATTATTGCCTCCCTCGCATGGATTGTGAGCTGGCCCTTGATTTCTGTGCATTCTTTTTGTATTGTTGTGTTCTTCCTTTCTATGTGCTTCATCCTTTTGTTTTGATTCCAAATTTGACTTTGTAGATGCTTTTTTTCATTGTTTCTTTTTTTGAGAGCCATTTGATACTTTTCCACTTTTCACGTTGCATTGATTAGTCCTTGTTCAGGTTTGGCTGTAGAATATGCTTCAATTGATTTCTTGTATTCCATCAAATTAGCCATTGATGCCCTTTTCTGGTTGGATGAACAGCTGTTCTTTTGACCTGATTCCACAATGAACCCATGCTAGACCAAGAATCTTCCCAATCTGGGCTACACATGCATTTGAAGCGGCAAAAGGGCCACGCAGATTTCAACCCGGCAACCTCCGGAGGTGCCCGAAAGTAACCAAAATTTGTGCCCAAATTTCTCTTCCATGTCATAGTCTCATAGCCTTGCATATGAATTGAAAGTCTATTCTATCGGCCTTACCTAGGTATCGGTAGAGGTAGTTTTCTAAATTAGCATCATCTTTATTGTTTTTTTTAGCTAATTGTCCCTGATATCTCGGTAATGAAGCATATTTAGGGCAAAAAAGGTCTAAGGTGCACTAACATAGTTCAGTAAGAACAAGATTCTTTGTTTTATTGCATGCTAGGTCCATTGTGTACAGTGGAAAATGTCCCGCCGTTGGGGAAACGGCTAGCACAGCCACAAAGCGTGGGCGGCCACGACCTTTGGTTGCCGACCCTCAGTGAGAATGATCTTTTTCTTGACTTTATCTTATAACTCATGTATTATTCATGTCGCAGTCGAAATGCGACATAGTCTTATTCTAATAGCCGCATGGGTTGGTTGGAGATGGGGTGCTTGCAGGCGCATATGAGAATTTGGTGAGCCTGGCGCAAATTGACTTGGTGAAGTCCAAAAATCGACCTCGACCTCAAACACCTCAAAATGGCCTCAAAACTCACATTTCACATCAGTTTTCATGGGCAGTTTTTCAGGTGCGTTTTCACGAATAATGTTACAAATACTGTAGAGAGCAAACGTGTGTAAACAGAGCAGGTTGCAATCCCATGACAGCACTACTTAACTAGGTATCGTTCCATCGATTTTATCGTCGAGATTTTAGTTTGTTCCACAAAGTGTATCCTGTGTGCGCGGCGATCAGGCTGACCTTTGTTTGCTCTTCCGCGTAAGCTTAACACTCGTGTGATGGTTGGAAAAGACAGGGTCCCCCTTCAACGTCCCAAAAGGGGGCATGCCGTTCCTGGATCGTCTTCCAGCCTTCCGCAACCTTCACTTCATCCTATCTCTTCACCTCCGGTTCCCCGCATCCAAACCAATCCCCCCGAGTACCCCGGTATTCCGACAACACCCGCCATCACTGGCCCCGAGGGCCGAGGGGATCTCTCTTTAGGCGTACATTTGGGTGGATTTTTAGAAAGCTGTGCTTTGGTTGCAATAGCCCCAGCGCTCAGAAATCACCCGATCTAATCCGACCCGACTCTCAAGATCCATTCGTACCAGGCGGCGGGTCCCGCTTTCGGGGGGCAGCAATCGCCCATGTAGGAAGTCGCGGAACGCGTACCACGCGCGACAGTAGCATCGATGCGCTATCTGAAGGCGAGGGTATTAACGTCCCTCCCAAGGTCACACCATTGGATAGCTCTGACGGCAATAGAAAGAAAGTAATCATCGGTGCTATAAGACTTATTCTCCGAAATGCAGTCTCCACCCTCAAATTTTCCCCGATTCCGAATCTTGATGCGATCCCGAATCTACTTATGACATGGCTCGAGGCTTATGAGGTCAATTGACCCTTCCGTTTCTGCGCTCGATGAGAATATGTTATTCATGTTTGTGCGTAATCTGTGCAGACCATCCATGGAAACGACGAGGATCTCAAAGGATTGGACGATGAAATCCAGGGGGTTTATACAACAATCTTGCGGCCACTCCAGCTGTGGACCGACCCGCCCCCCCCTGAAGTCGTCTATCTAATCGAAGAGTTCCGCTCGTACGTCCACCCTTCCTCTACAACCCTCTGATCTCAATATCAATGTTCCCATTGGCAGGGCCCTTGAGGAACAAATAAACCATATCGAGTCACTCAAGGGTCAAGGTTTTGGAACGAAGATAATCTTAACAGCCGAAATCTCCAAGAGAATAAGTGACGTGAAGGCATGTATAAATAAGGCCGTTAACTTTTTTTCGGTACGTTTCCATTGGGCTCCCAAGCGCTCAATCTAACTGAGTGGTATGTGTGACATAGACGAAGGCAACTACCTTAACGCTCCTTCACACAATCGAGGCAGCGGCGCAATGTACGTTGCTATGCTTATTCCTGGGCTTGCCTCGCCAACGCTACGTTTTAGCTAAACTTGAGCGACTTGTGCTTGTTGCAGCCGAGCACACCTACGTGAAGAGCAAGTCAGAGTGTCTTCCAACCACGCGGGTCGATGTGCAAAAATCTATCCTCGATCATCTGAAGGAGGCCAAGAACCGATTTGTCTGGTTACGTGGGTCCCCTGGGACTGGGAAGACGGCAATATGTAGGAGCATTGCATCCACGTTCCAGAGGGAAGGTACTCTGGCAGCCTCCTTCTTTTGGGACAAAAACCAAAGGGGAGTAGGCCTCGATTCTTTGGAACGGTTTCCTTCTACCCTCGCACGTCAACTAGCACTCTTCAATGGGGACTTTAAAGTGTCTCTTGTCAAACGCCTTCGGCAGCCGGATTTGGAGTTGGTTCTAAGCCTTCCTCTGAAGAAGCAAATGAGGACCTTGGTCATTGAACCGATGAATGCTATCGGGGGAATGTTGTCTGGAAGCAACAAACGCTTTGCTATCGTCTTGGATGGTTTGGATGAGTGTGGAGATCCAGAGGCACTTGAGTCCTTGATGGAACTCGTGCTTCTTCTCCGTAAATTGCCTTCAGCGTTCGCTGTGCTGGTTAGCTGTCGACCTGAGTCCACAGTTCTTTCCGCTTGGACCAGATCACAAGACGAGATCCCCTGTGAAGATGTGGATAAGATCAAATTGGGTGACACTTATCACACCATCCGTTGCATGGTGGAGGAAGGGCTTCGGGATTGCATCAGGGACTCCCCTTGGAAGCCATCCAATTCAGATCTCAATAACTTCGTGACCAGTTGTCGTGAATTGCCTATCGTGGCGTCAACCCGAATACGTGATGTGCAGGTTCAGACTCGCCACGGTTCTACTCTTGAATCGGAACTCGAATACTTCCGCAACCTTAGGGAAACACCCAAGGGTCTGAACTGGGAGTACTTGCGAATAATGCGGCGAGCCTACATGCCAGATTCCTCGAGCATTCGCCCGCATGTGGCCAAGCACTACCGCGAAGTAGTTGGGATAATTGTTGCGGCGAGGTGGCGGGATCTCGGCACAAATGACATATCACATCTCCTAGGAATTGCTGAGCATGAAGTACGCTCAATACTAAGACCTATCACCTCGATAGTTGATCTTCCCCCAGACAATGAGCAGACCGTCAAATTCTATCATGCGACGGTGAAAGAGTTCATCACAGGAGTCCCTATCGGTGATGAACAGGATGAAATATTCTTCATTCATGATGTGAATGGATACAGCATTGGATTACAACTTCTTCGATTTGTAAAGGATGTTATTCAGAAGAACGAGTATGACATCCCGATCGAATTTCCTTTGGGAGACAGAAAGAAGTGGCGGCTCTCTTCGGGCAAGCAGCAGCCCAGATATGTCCACAACGCGCTCTTACACTTGTTTGAGCACTTGGACGCTTCGCTGCTCTTTTCACAAGAATATAATGAATTGCAGAGAGAGTTTGAACAATTCCTTGCAGAAAACCTGTTCTCATTCATATCAACTGGCCCCGGTCATATGGCAATATTTACAGAACTCGGCGGGGATCAATTTAATGCGTTTGTGAGTTCCAAATCATTTTCGAGCATTTGGTTTATGTGAGACCGTTTCATGCTCTGCAGAATCACAAATCAATGGAACTGATAGAAGAAGCGCGCAATCTTGCACGGTGGCTTGATCCTTCCCATCCTTGGCACTATTATCGATCAGGCCTTCCATTCACTTCGTCGTCGTCAAGTCTCTTTAGACTATATGGCTGTCTCTCAGATCCAATTCGAGTCTTCAGCATATCCGGCAAGTTTTCGCGTAATTTGATTCCGCTGAGTGAGGATGGGCATAAGGCTCGAGAGGCTATGGAGGCAAAGTTGAGTGAACTGCCAAAGAAGTTTGATGCACACGGCCAGGAGGAAACTAATTACGAAGCCGAATTCGCTGAACGTGATGTTCGCAATGGGATTGTGGCCTGTGTGGCACTATCTCAAGATGGTTCTTGCGTCGCCCTCGGATTCGGAGGCGGAATCATCGAAATTGCGGACATCGGCTGTCAGCGGACAATCTCTAGATTCCAATGCAATCCTGAAAAGCCTCCGGTTTGGATTGAATTTATACATAATGGCAATCTTCAAATTGCCACTGAGGACACTGATGGAACTATCACCGTTCTCGGCCCTGGCACGGGCATGGCAAGACTTGGCACATTCCCCGATGGTTGTTGCCCTGCTATAACTGCAGTGTCAAACAACGGATCTCTCATTGCCCGAGTCCCTCGGTGTCTTGATGAGAACTGGTACAGAGGCATGGCACTCTTGCACCTTTCGGGGAAGTCATCCGTTCAGTTTCTTGCATCTCCTCCCGCTGCTCAGTTTCCCCAGCCCTGTTCCGAATTATCCATTCCCCTACGTCACACAATTGGATTCTCTCCTGGGGATCGATACCTCGGTGCTTACAACATGAACTATGCTTTTGTCTGGTCAACAGGTTCATGCGAGTTTATTGCTCAATATCGCGTGGAAGAGTTCAAGACATGGATTCTCAATACTGGTGTTGAACCCCCTTGCTCGTACCGCAACCCTGAACCTATACTCAGTAACCCCACCGTCCCTTTTATCCCAGGAGAGGGTGCAATCCATGCACGAAGTTCCGAACTAGATGTACAGCATGACGACGATGAATCCTGGCTGAAGCATCCCTTTTACAGCCTCTTGGCAGATGAGGGCGATGACCATAGCTACACCAAAGTCTATTCCTCCGCGATGGGGAGGGTCCCATTAACTTCTGCTGAATTCACATTCCTTAATGATGGACTGACATGGGTCTGGTTTAATGGAGAACTTGAACTCATTGTCCCACTCCAGTACCGCCCGATCAAACGAGATGCACATGCCTTCAGCAAGAAAGAAGCCTGGTATGGTGAACTGGTGCTCACAAGTGGTGATTATCGCAAAGACGGCATGTATTACCTCCCTCGTGCCAGCAAGGATGGGACTCGATTTCTGCTCCAGGGTGGGCTGAAAGCCCCAGTGGTTGTTGATATTAGCCGAGTTGTCTAGTGCATCAAGTGCATGTTCAATCATAATCATCTCTCCAGTTACGCAAGAAAAGACATGGAAGAAATCCAAAACTGAGATTGCTTGAGATGGGAGACAATCACAATGCAATAGACTTCCCACTCCACTGTCTTGACAGTTGTTGGGTAGCAAGCATTCAAGTGCTATCATTTTATGCTGTGGTTGAAAGGGGCAATTAAGTTATGAGAGAGGGAATATATGTATCGGATTGCGATGATATGGTTAGGAATTTGGCCAGCATGTCAATGAGACTACAGTGTAGGCAGGTTTTTTTAACAACATTCTAACTCAGAAAAGCATCACAAATGTACATTCTATTAGTCTATCAGACCACTTTTCTGTCAGGATGTAAGGCTGGTTGGGGTGCTGGCCTTGGTGACTCCTTAATCCTCAGGCTGTTGAGAGCTAGACTGTATGGAGCTAGTATTTGACAGGGGGGGGAGGAGTGTCAGGGACCGACCTGGGGTCAAGAGCATCTGGGTATATCGCCTGGGGCTGAGGGCCCAGCAGGGTGTAGCGCGGGCATGCGTAACAATGGGCCCGAAGCAGACAAAGGTCCCTGGCCACTTAGGCTAAAGTGGGAAGTGTGAGAAAAAGGTTGCTTCTCAGTTCCCACTTAGGCTGTGTTTATATACATGTAGCTAAGGCCACGTCATCTGCGCACACAGCCACGTCTGTCCAGGTATCTCTGCAAGAGATCCCAGGAGTGCCCGGTGAGTGGGAGGCCACCCGGTGGGTCCAGGCATGTCGTAGTGCAGCTGGGTCAATGGTACACTGATAGGAGAGAAGTTGTCTGTGTAATAAGTAAAGAAAGAAAGAAAAGAGAAAGGAGGGAGAAAGAGAGGAAGAGAAAAGGGAAGAGGAAGTAGGGAAGGAGTAGGTAGCGGGGGATTGGGTCAGCTGGGGCCAGGTCAGGCGGGTGTGCCCTGACAAGGAGAAGAGCAAAGCCCCAACCCCAGACACTATTTATGTACATACAGGTGTTATACATTGTTTATTATGAGGAATAAAAGGAATGTGCACTTGTGCACATCATCCATTCCTTACACAGGGCCCAACTGTCATATCTGTACATACCCAACCCTGATTTGACTTCCAGACCCTTTCTGCCACCTCCAGAGTCTTACCCCTATTCCTGTCCATTCCAATCCCCAAGGTACAACCCCCCATTCCATCCTGCACCCCGACCTCAGACTGTCATATCCATCCACAGCCATTGACTTCCACTGCTTCCGATCCCTCCGGACTATCTCCGCTCCTTCTTCACTAACCTCGGAGCCCTGTCAGGGCACATACCCTGACTTAGCCCGGACCCGCTCCACTTCCTGTGCATGCTTCCTGCGCCGCATGATCTGTGCGCCGCATGCTCCGGTCCCCGGATCCTACCTTCATGTGACTTCCGGGTATCCCCAGAAGTTTTCGCCATATTGGGCCACTGTGGGAAAGTGAGAAGTTAACCTTCTTCTCACTTTCTTACCCACAGTAGGCAAGTGTATATACTTGCCCTTGTTTTATCTCACTTTCTTACCCACAGTAGTTATTGCCCTGGACAGGGCTGTTCACAGATTAGGCTGTGGGCTATAGAGAGAGGGGTCATGGGGTCCCAGGGTCTGTCCCTTGACAAGCCCCCATATTCCACAATCACCTTGTCAGGGAACGACCTGGGGTCGAGAGCGCCCAGATGTGTCACCCGGCACTGAGGACCCGATAGGGTGTACCATGGGTGCACATGCTAATGGACCCAGCACAGAAGGGCATCCCTGGCCACTTAGGCTAAAGTGGGAAGTGTGAGAAGAAGGTTACTTCTCAGTTCCCACTTAGGCTGTGTTTATGTACATGCAGTTGAAGGTCATGGGGGAGTGCCATGTCATCTATGCGCACAGCCGTATCTGCCTGGGTATCTCCGTAAGAGATCTCAGGAGTGTCCGATGTGTAGGGTGTCACCTGGTGTGCCTGGGTCCGGGCATGTTGTGCAGCCTGGTTAATGGTACATCGAGCAAGGAAGTTGTCCGTGTAGTAGAAAAGGAAAGAAGGAGGAGGAATGGAAAGAAGAAAGAAGAAGGGAAAGGAAGAAGGAGGGAGGAGGGAGGACAGGGGCACCGGGTGAGGGTAGTGGGATCGGGGTCGGACCGGGTGGAGTGGGGTCAGGCGGGTGTGCCCTGACACACCTCCACTTCCCTTGATGGTCACCACCCCCTCTTTTCAATATATTACCTATGCCTCCCTAAGTACAGAGCCCTGAAGGCTTCTGGACAGCTCTGACGTCCGCTAGTGCACTCCCACCTCTGCTGGGCAATACACTTGCTTGCCCTGCAAGCCCACCTTCGGGCCTATCCCTCCTTTCTGTTTCTGGGTTATCGCCTACCATTCTGCTAACCCCATAACCTGACTTGTCGGTAATATTCAATCAGCTAATGTTTAACCCTGTTAGCTCCACTC